AAATGATCCGCCTAGCTAGTCTAATCGTTTAGCTCATGAGAGTGAAGTTGAAGGGATTTTTGTAGAAAGCAGTATAAGACTTTGATGTCTCTAAAATCATTGGAATTTAAAAAGGTTGAAACACTAGATTCGTTGATAAATTCCGGATTTAGTAGATAATTCGGTAAGTAGTGAGACCTCAGCGGAGTGTAAAATGGGCACATAAAGAGTATATGTATAAAGTCCTCGGGACAGAGTGAGTTGCACAATGTGCATAACTGACTCGGGTTGATCTGGTAGTCTATCTTGTTGATAACGAGTCGTCTCGAGAAAACTGAGGATAGTCTCAGCTGACATCTTTCTGGGTAGAAAACGTCGAAGTCGTCCAGGGGATGTCTGAGGGTCTTTAGGATGAGCGACGTGGAGGAGAGGTAACGGAGATAGTTTTCGTATCTTCCCCTGTCTGCTAGTTGTCGAAGAATATCCGGAATCCTCAATTCCCACCAGCCAGGACTCAGGTTTGACCAAAGATCGGAGCAGTCGATACCAATCAGGCATTGTTTCAACTGTGATATCCAGTTGTACTTGGCATTAGCTGCGGTGTTTGCAACAGGAGAGGAGGCCAGGTTGATTAGCCTAAGAAGGCATATTCTAGGTAGACGATCGGTAGACATCTTGAGGATCTTGACAACCCAACGAAGAGCCTGGTTGATGACCTCGACGGATATCTTCGTGACTCGGTCTCGAGCCGGATGGCATAACCGGAGGTATTCCTCTGGAGATTGAAAAGGCGTTCGAGGAAGTACGTGTGGGCAGATTCAAGGGTTGCCAGGTCTCTGAGTGCCCACAAAGCTGAGGTGTACAACAGGGTGGAGGTCACAATACTCGCATTTAATTTCCTCATACCTTCCCAGGACTCAGCTCCTATGTTGGAGAGAATTCGAAGAGCTGAAGCCGAGGAAGCACGTGATCTGGATTCGGCTGCGTTGGCAGAGACGATTTCGACCGAGGATCCATTGCGAGAGAAGTCATGGTTGGTTGAGGGCAGTCGTCCGGCCTTCCTGAAGATCATGACTTTGGTTTTCCCGATATTGACGAACAGGGAATAGATTCTGCAGTAATCCTCTAGGATCTCCAACTTGCGTTTCAGGTCAATCGTGCTGAATGCTAGAATTATAAGGTCGTCGGCGTACGAGAGAAGAATTACGTCACTCACGCCATCAATATCAACTCCCCTGGCTCCGTTTATTCGGAAAAAAGCCTCGATGTCCGACAGGTAGAGGTTGAACAGAAGAGGGCTCAACTTTTCTCCCTGCAAGGCGCCCTCGCTCACATCAAAACTCCTCGTGGCACCTTCACTTATTTTTATTTGGATCGTGGCATGGTCGTACAAATTTTTAATAACAGTGACCATACGAGAGCTGACTCCAATCTTCAGGAGCTTGGCCCACAGTAGGTGGTGAGGGACAGAGTCGAAAACTCTGCGAAAATCCACAAAGAGTGAGTAGACCCTGCCTCTCGTCTGTCTCAACCTATTCTGTAGAGTCGATAATAGGGTAAAAATATTATCCATAGGGTGAATACAAATTTTTAAAATGTTTCTTAATCTTTTTCTTTGCTGAGGAGCAGTCCTCGTCGAACCACAATGGCTTTGGTTGAACTTTCCTTGGGTTGAGTGTTTTATTGATAGGTCTGACCAATGACAGTTTGAGTGCTCCGTCCCTGATGCAGTTTAGGAGGTTATCGTTCTTCTCATCATCCGTAAGGTCCGTTGTATCCTTCTGGAGTATTGGTGAGGAACTCATGAAATCCACAAAATCAATAATACTGGACGGTTTCCACTGGAGAGTTGGTCTTGGGTTGCTGAAACGGGAGTTCAGAGGACAGGTAATCTGATCAGATGACACCGGGACCAGTTCTTCTACAAGATCCAACAGAGACACTGAAACGGGTAGGTGGTTAGAGCCGACGAGGTCCGAGGAGACCTCCAGGTCCTGCACAAATTCGATTTTGTCTAGGCTTATCCTGATAAGATCAAACGTATTTGAGGTTCGATTACTGGTGAACTTCGCCGGTGTATCGGATTTGGTTCTTCCATTCAGGAGAATAAAGTCATTTTCCAACATAAAAGACATCAGCTGCTCACCTCTAGCATCAGTTTTGTCCATGGAGAAGCTCCTGGTTTCGTTGACACTGGAGCCAAAGGTTGCTTCGGGGGAAATGTCGTCATCAAAGTGAGCAATCGAGGAGTTGAAGTCCCCACCCAGAATAAAAATGTCATTGGTGTATTTGCTGTTCATTCTTAGGCTACTCACGGTTAGTTGCAGCAGAGGTAGGACGTGGTCGAGTTGGAGAGTAGGCGAGAAGTAGAAAGAACCAATTATGGCATTCCAAAAATGTGACTTTATCCGCAAAAATATCCACCATGGACAGGTCACCAAAACTACTGGTTAAAGAACACTGTTAGCTAGAGAGAGTAAGCCACCACTACCTCTACCCCTGGCTCTGTCTCGAACTGCTGGAGACCAAAATCTGAGGTAATCTTTGAGACTTGAGGGCATCAGATGCGAAGAGGGATTCAGAAGCATAGTTTCTGAAAGACACAGAATTTGTAAATCTGAGCTAAAATTATTGTGTGTAACATTGACCATACCTTGGACGTTCCAAAACTGAACCTTGATATCGATCTGCAAACTCTCATCACGAGTTGAGTTATTGGTGGGGTTATGTTCCTCAGAATCCCACTCAAAACCCGCAGTTTCTCTGGTCCTTTTACTATATAAATCCCTGGTGAAACAGTCCGATTATTTCCGATTGGGTGATAAAAAATGAATCGGCGTTAATGATGTTTCTGTCTTTGCCCGTTAAATTCCGATTGGCTGGTAGGTAGAGTTTGGAGTTTGAGAAAATTTTGAAAATTAATGGGAACAAGGGTATGTGGCCGTTATCGTCCGATTACTTTCCAAAAAAGTGGTTGATAGATCTCATACTACGCATATAAATATTTAAATGAGCAATAAATATTAAATATTTATATGAGCAATATGAGATCTATCAACCACTTTTTTGGAAAGTAATCGGACGATAACAGCCGCATACCCTTGATCCTATTAATTCTCATAATTTTCTCAAACTCCAAACTCTACCTACTAGGCCAATCGAAATTTAACGGACAAAGACAGAAACATCATTAACGCCGATTCATTTATATCACCCAGTCGCAAAAAATCAGACTGTTTTACCAGGGATCTGTGATAGTTGGTAAGGAGTCACAACGAGCACGCCAAACAAGTTCGTGGGCCTTGAGAAGTCGTCTTCTCCTGGTAATGGTGATAGGGCTTTGCTCCTTCGGGGTAGAACAAGCCGGTTGAGACACAAGGAGGTTAGACCAGGCTAAAATGCTATTGGGAGAATTAGCACATTTAACAGTAGAGGTGGATGCTTTGACAGAAAAAGGCGATTCCTCTTCTGACTCTGGTGAGCTTGGGGTAATAATTATGTCCAATATCGGGTCCTTCCTCTGCTCATCCACGTTTCTGCTCATGCCCCTGGCTGGAGCCCCTAACCTCCAATATAGACAGCGCGGAAATTTTATTGATTTTCGTAGAACACCGGTACCAAGGACCACATTTATTATGGTTTACTAATAAGACCGATAAAAAGCACAGTGTGTAAGCGTCGGAATAATTTTTGAGTCACTAGAAAAATAATAATTGGCAGTAATATGTGGAGTACTTCCAAAACACAACCAGTGACGGCTCTATCCGCACGGGACCCCGTATAAATCAATAAAAAAAAAGAATTATGAGAAATTTTGATTTTTTTGGGTGAAGTTAAAAAAATCTGAAAAAAATGTACTTCATTGAGATAGTATATTTTGTGATTTCGACGACACTGACTCTTCACATATTTAACACTTTAAATGTCTGACTCATACTTTTTACGCTACCCTGATCTCCCNACAGTCCGATTATTTCCGACTGGGTGATAAAAAATGAATCGGCGTTAATGATGTTTCTGTCTTTGCCCGTTAAATTCCGATTGGCTGGTAGGTAGAGTTTGGAGTTTGAGAAAATTTTGAAAATTAATGGGAACAAGGGTATGTGGCCGTTATCGTCCGATTACTTTCCAAAAAAGTGGTTGATAGATCTCATACTACGCATATAAATATTTAAATGAGCAATAAATATTAAATATTTATATGAGCAATATGAGATCTATCAACCACTTTTTTGGAAAGTAATCGGACGATAACAGCCGCATACCCTTGATCCTATTAATTCTCATAATTTTCTCAAACTCCAAACTCTACCTACTAGGCCAATCGAAATTTAACGGACAAAGACAGAAACATCATTAACGCCGATTCATTTATATCACCCAGTCGCAAAAAATCAGACTGTTTTACCAGGGATCTGTGATAGTTGGTAAGGAGTCACAACGAGCACGCCAAACAAGTTCGTGGGCCTTGAGAAGTCGTCTTCTCCTGGTAATGGTGATAGGGCTTTGCTCCTTCGGGGTAGAACAAGCCGGTTGAGACACAAGGAGGTTAGACCAGGCTAAAATGCTATTGGGAGAATTAGCACATTTAACAGTAGAGGTGGATGCTTTGACAGAAAAAGGCGATTCCTCTTCTGACTCTGGTGAGCTTGGGGTAATAATTATGTCCAATATCGGGTCCTTCCTCTGCTCATCCACGTTTCTGCTCATGCCCCTGGCTGGAGCCCCTAACCTCCAATATAGACAGCGCGGAAATTTTATTGATTTTCGTAGAACACCGGTACCAAGGACCACATTTATTATGGTTTACTAATAAGACCGATAAAAAGCACAGTGTGTAAGCGTCGGAATAATTTTTGAGTCACTAGAAAAATAATAATTGGCAGTAATATGTGGAGTACTTCCAAAACACAACCAGTGACGGCTCTATCCGCACGGGACCCCGTATAAATCAATAAAAAAAAAGAATTATGAGAAATTTTGATTTTTTTGGGTGAAGTTAAAAAAATCTGAAAAAAATGTACTTCATTGAGATAGTATATTTTGTGATTTCGACGACACTGACTCTTCACATATTTAACACTTTAAATGTCTGACTCATACTTTTTACGCTACCCTGATCTCCCTTAATATGTCAAAAGTTTACAAATATATTAAGATTTACAGAATAATATAGGAATTATCCACCTCTAGTAGAATATTGAGCAACTTCAGCCAACTTTGGTAAATAGTAGTTATAATAAAAAGTTTCAAGCCTTACCACTGCTTCCCTTAAAAAAATCGAATTTCTGGCTATTTTCACCAATGTACTCTCCCGCAGGGAGAGTATACATAAAGATCACAAACACGTATATTTGTCACGTACATTTCAATTTGTACATGTGTGTATATTTGATTGGACTCTTAACTGTATTCCATTTTCATCTCCTATAAGATAATTAATGTTTAATCGCTTTGCATTTGTGTCATAAATGGGTTTACCTTTACATGGGCTTGGGCACTTTATTTCTAATAATTTTTCATCACAGCCATTATCAGTAGCAACGACTCCATCAGGTGAACACGCTAACCAGGGCTAGAGAAGGTAGATGATCAAGCCCACTCGGATCACGTGACTTCCGACATCGAGATGATCTTTTTCGGTATTGTCGCAGCGCAACTTCTTCAGTCTTTTTCCCATATGTCATCGCAGAAGTTTCTATCGTTTTTTTGGTCAATCGTTCATCGACCAATTTATCAACGTCCTTAGATTTTGCTTTCGCTCTATGATTTGTACTGGCAGTGATACGAAAACGTCGTCGTTTGAACCACTTTTTATCGAGTGATTACTGAATAGTTTCAATGCAAATCTTGAGCACTTTATCCTCATCACACATCACATTTTCCTTGAAAAAGTTCCAAACTTTCTAATCAACAACATTAGGCTGTGAATACACTACACCCATGGGTTGTTTCCTTGAAATTTCTCTAACAACCGTTGAAGCTTCGGAGACCAATTGCTCTGTCTTCAGGATTTGGTCCATCGAAATAAGTGTTTCAGCAGCGACAGTTTCTTCTGTATACCGTTCTTTCAACTTCATATGAGTGTAGAGGGGTGTTTGAGGAAGAATTTCCAGAATTGAGGAAAACAATCTGATCGGTGCTATCGCTGCGGCGTTTTTACCCAAAGCTGGAACATTGTAAAGAGTACTTATTCATGCACCTTTATCGTATTCCGACATTTGCTTCGAAGTCGGTTGGCCCCATTGTTGCAAGAAACTTGTTTTTGATATTGCACTATCATCAGAATTGATATAGATTACAACGGCACAAATGTGTTTACATTTTCCAGAGGTGCCGGCCTTGCAGTTGCAATGAGCAATCGTCAGAATTCTGTTTTTACAGACCTAAATAAAATCTTGTTCAGTAAATTAATTCGTGGAGTAATTGTTTTTTCGTTAATTTAAAAATACCTACGATAAGTTTCACTGAATAGTAAACAGACAATCTTGTTTGAGCTCTAACCTTTGCGATTATGGTCGTATCTCTTTTTCCTTCATTATTATATTCAATCAGATCCCTTACATTACCGGCTTCCACCAATTTAAAACCTTCTTGGAAATTTGGACCCCGCTGGATGTCGCACACAATCGGACGAAATCCATATTTTATTATTTTCAACATTTTCATCAAATTACCTATTACGCTAATGGGATTTCGTATAATTTCGCTTCCTCAGAAAAACCAGAGGCGCGACAATCAATTTGTAATGCCATCTCCAGCCCATGCAACTTCCCCTTTGGCTCTGATTGGGTCTGATTTTAATATGGTCGTTTCGGTCCAAAAACGTTGTCGAGCGGGTCGGTGTTATCGGCAATGAGCACTTTGTATTTGGACATCATCGTAGCCACTGTGGAAAATATTTGATATCGTCGGAAGGATTTCTGTGTAGAGTTTCTGAGCAAATAACGAAACCCGGATTTGGTGCCACCGTTTGGCTGTTTTTGGAGAGAGCATCGGTTGCAGAGTTTTCTCATATCGGTGAGCAGTATAAAATCATTAACGTGATCTATATTTTGTGTACGAGGCGCGAGAGCTTATTATTTTTCCTTTAGTTTTGTCGAAAAAGCGATATTGACGCCATTTTCGATCATTGTTGAGTTTTCGTGGCGATTCTCGCCCCTCACTTGGCAGCGTCACTCGGGTTCTCTTAACAATTTATTTGTTAAAGGTTGGAAAATATTGGTTTTTTCCCGTGAAGTGAAATCCAATTAAATCGGTAATTTTTGGTTTTTCTAATTCCTTCCGACTATCGTTTCGCTATAGTGCCGTGGGATAATTGATTTTTGGAATGTAACGGCAGTTGGAATCTCGAGGTCAGAGTTATTTACCCTCGACGTTCCACATTTTCCATTTTTCGTGGCCTTCGAAGCCAGGTATCAGGGGTTAGATTTCGACATTTATTCGGTCAGGAATAACTGCTAAGATTTTGTGGCATTGATAGAGGGATTGTAGCGTGATTTGTCGACGCTCGAATTTTGGTCTTTTGCTAGAAACCGTTGCAGTTCGTTGCCGGCAGTTGTGTTTGTTTTCGTTCGAGGCAATCCCCCTCTCAAGTGCACCTGTACTTGAATCTTATTCTCGCCACTTTGGGTGGACGCACTGGTTTCTCGGGNGTTTACATTTTCCAGAGGTGCCGGCCTTGCAGTTGCAATGAGCAATCGTCAGAATTCTGTTTTTACAGACCTAAATAAAATCTTGTTCAGTAAATTAATTCGTGGAGTAATTGTTTTTTCGTTAATTTAAAAATACCTACGATAAGTTTCACTGAATAGTAAACAGACAATCTTGTTTGAGCTCTAACCTTTGCGATTATGGTCGTATCTCTTTTTCCTTCATTATTATATTCAATCAGATCCCTTACATTACCGGCTTCCACCAATTTAAAACCTTCTTGGAAATTTGGACCCCGCTGGATGTCGCACACAATCGGACGAAATCCATATTTTATTATTTTCAACATTTTCATCAAATTACCTATTACGCTAATGGGATTTCGTATAATTTCGCTTCCTCAGAAAAACCAGAGGCGCGACAATCAATTTGTAATGCCATCTCCAGCCCATGCAACTTCCCCTTTGGCTCTGATTGGGTCTGATTTTAATATGGTCGTTTCGGTCCAAAAACGTTGTCGAGCGGGTCGGTGTTATCGGCAATGAGCACTTTGTATTTGGACATCATCGTAGCCACTGTGGAAAATATTTGATATCGTCGGAAGGATTTCTGTGTAGAGTTTCTGAGCAAATAACGAAACCCGGATTTGGTGCCACCGTTTGGCTGTTTTTGGAGAGAGCATCGGTTGCAGAGTTTTCTCATATCGGTGAGCAGTATAAAATCATTAACGTGATCTATATTTTGTGTACGAGGCGCGAGAGCTTATTATTTTTCCTTTAGTTTTGTCGAAAAAGCGATATTGACGCCATTTTCGATCATTGTTGAGTTTTCGTGGCGATTCTCGCCCCTCACTTGGCAGCGTCACTCGGGTTCTCTTAACAATTTATTTGTTAAAGGTTGGAAAATATTGGTTTTTTCCCGTGAAGTGAAATCCAATTAAATCGGTAATTTTTGGTTTTTCTAATTCCTTCCGACTATCGTTTCGCTATAGTGCCGTGGGATAATTGATTTTTGGAATGTAACGGCAGTTGGAATCTCGAGGTCAGAGTTATTTACCCTCGACGTTCCACATTTTCCATTTTTCGTGGCCTTCGAAGCCAGGTATCAGGGGTTAGATTTCGACATTTATTCGGTCAGGAATAACTGCTAAGATTTTGTGGCATTGATAGAGGGATTGTAGCGTGATTTGTCGACGCTCGAATTTTGGTCTTTTGCTAGAAACCGTTGCAGTTCGTTGCCGGCAGTTGTGTTTGTTTTCGTTCGAGGCAATCCCCCTCTCAAGTGCACCTGTACTTGAATCTTATTCTCGCCACTTTGGGTGGACGCACTGGTTTCTCGGGGTATTAGGTGTGTGAATATGACTCCGCCCTTTCCCAACAGATGTCGTTTTTAGTATTGCTTACGTGCACTAATAAATGGGAACACTTGTATTCGATAGTACTCTATGTCAGCTGTCAAACGCACTACGTGACATTTAGTTGAAATGTAAGCAACAAGTGTTTTTACCTCCGTGACAATGTCGGTTTTCGTTCCTAGTAAACATCATTTGCGGGAGGTGTTATTACAATATTATATTGCAAAGAAAAGTGTAGCGGAAACTCATCGTTTGCTTGTGGAGATTTACGGTGAGCATGTTCCATCTAATACAACTTGCAAGGAATGGTTTCGACGATTTCAAAATAATGATTTTGGCACTGAGGACAGAGAACATGGAAAACCACCAACAAAATTTGAAGATGCTAAATCGGAGGCATTATTGGCAGAGGATTCTTGCCAAACTCAATCAGAATTGGCTGCAGCATTAAATGTTGAACTATCAACTGTTGCAAAGCGTTTGAAAGCAATGGGAATGGTTCAAAAGTTGGTAACTGGGTTCCATATGAATTGAAAGAAAGAGACATGAAACGTCGAAAAACAATTTGTGAAATGCTACGTCAAAGACAGCAAAAAAAAGGATTTTTGCATCGAATAGTCACAGGAGATGAAAAATGGATATATTATGAGAATCCTAAATGCCAAAAAGCTTATGTAAAAGAAATATTCACAGTGCCAAGGTTATGCTCTGCATTTGGTGGGATGNTTTGCTGTTTAAGGAGCAAGATTAGTGATTTCCTTTTGTCGGACGCTTGAGTTCGANCAAAAAGCTTATGTAAAAGAAATATTCACAGTGCCAAGGTTATGCTCTGCATTTGGTGGGATGAGAGAGGTGTTGTATATTATGAGTTGCTCGAACCCTCTCAAACTATTAATGAAGAAGTTTACCGACGACAACTAATGCGTTTGAAGCGAGCCATAGAAGAAAAACGACCAGAATGGGTGAATAGGCACAGTAAATTAATTCTTCAACATGACAATGCCAAACCGCATACCGCCCAAGTTGTGAAAAGTGTAACGTGGTATTTTTGGTTTCCGACCGTTCGGCGGTTTCTGGGATTTCCAGAAGAAAAGTCAAACCATTGGCGAGCTGAGAGTCATTTGATTTGTTATTTCGAACTATTTTTATTAATTAATTTTTGTTTGTATCGAGTCGTTGTCTGACCGCTCACCGGATCACATCGTGGGATGGAGTTTCGGATCATCGCGGGATGGAGTTCGGATCTTCGTGGAATACTCCAGTAGCCTGTCTTCGGGTCACGGATTCTGTGGAGTACGAGATATTAGGCCGGAAGATTCCTAACTGCCCTCGCACACAACTGGGTTCGCCTGGACGACCGAGTGATGGTGCCAGGGTATGAAGTTGGAGTCTGGGACTCAGACAACGATCTCATTTTTGGATTGGAAAATTCTGGACTGACATGAGACGTCCAGAGAACTGATAATTTACGATGAGCATTATTTGAAATATCATCTAATTGTTATTTGTCTTTTGGTATAAGATTCACGCCGCTAAATATTGTATCGCGCGTGTGGAATCATTCTATAAATTTCGCTGAGTCTGGTTGAATACGGTTTTAACGTCTAATCAGAGCAAACACGTTGTCATGGTGGACCAATCACAGAATTGTGTGACTGGGTGAACCTTGCCGCGTGGGTCAGTTGTACGGGCAACAGTCACTTCTTGTTTGGACGTCCAGGGAACCGCTGTGCCAAAATTTCCGTCCCGTTTTAAGAGACATCGTGAATTATCTTATTTTGTTTCATCGGGCGTATTACATTGTCGAGACCCGGAGTTGTGGTTGTAATTTGACGAACTGGGGAAGGCCTGGAAAATTTTCTACCGTCGACTGATCATCGGATTTGATGAGCGGTGGATTTTTAAAGTGGAAATTATTATTTTGCTGTTTAAGGAGCAAGATTAGTGATTTCCTTTTGTCGGACGCTTGAGTTCGAGGCGGTTGACGCCATATTAGTGATTGTTGAATTTTCAGGCTATTTCTTGCCCCTTGTTCGGCAGAGATTTTGTTCGGGTCCAATTGGTTAATTGATATTTTGTCCGGTTGATTTTGGATTAGATTTCTCTAAATAAATTCAGTGATTCTAAGTGTTAGATTTATCTAGACCCTCGTTTCATTGTTTTCGCCGTTGCCCTGACGGAACCTGTAGACTGCTAGTAGAGAGTGAGTTGACTCTCTCTTTGTTCCTGGAGTGGAGAGAAAGTTGAAAGTTCGTGGAGAGTTGGACTGACAGGGCCAATTCTGTACTCATGAGTACTTTTAGAGAGTATATAGCTGAGGGGAGGACTATTCTGGGTGG